ATGTATGCCTGTGGGTGCAGCCTGCTGGCCTGTTTCAAGCATCAGAGTGAAAGACATTGACTTGATTCCTGTCAGGGATGAAGTATCAGGCAGAGGTTGTTTTTCATCTATTGCTGGAAAATAGTGGGATTGAATCAAAGCTGCTGAGTTTTATGTAGAATTTCTTGTCAGTCATTGAACAATTCAGCAAGGACACGTCACAGAAAGCAGGAATAGTCGAGGATGGAAGACAGGACAGGAAACAGTAATGGCTGCCAGAAACGTTCTCCTGCTCCTCCTCCTCTTCCTGCCAACAACAGCTGTGAGGCAGGGAGTGTCTGAGCAGCTGCTTAATAAGAGAGAGGAGGATGGGAATGCTGAAGGGAGTGGTCCTCCATGGCACAAAACTGACTGCATTGCATCCTTCCAAAGGGAGAATGTGATACCCAGCTATCACATTCTCCATCTGCCACGGATGAGTTTCTGCATCAGATGAGCCGGACTCAAGGAGTAAAGGGGAATAAAAAAAACCCAATTAACTCACTTAACCTTTGTTTAACATCTGATGACATATTTGCTTTTTCCTTGAGTGAAACATTTCAGAAGAAGAATATTGCTTCTTTACAGGAGGAATAAAGGGCCTAGATCACATATGACCTACGAGTGAGTCCAGCCACCCTTTAGTGACATTTATTTGTATTTGTAATGAAATATTATGGTTGGTGAAAGTATGGAGCCATGACTAACGGGAGACAAAAACTTACATAATTTGAAATATTTCAAACAGCTGATGGTGTCAAACAGCTGTGGAGGCCTGCACGAGTCACTGGGAAGCTTCAGCTAAAGCATTTACTCCTAAAGCAGGGGTGTCAAACTTATTTTAGCTCAGGGGCCACATTGAGGGAAATCTAGTCCCAAGTGGGCCGGACCGGTAAATTAAAAACAACTTCATATTGCTTTCTTTGTTTTAATAAAATCAATATAAAACAAGGCTGGAGCCTGAGGACAGTGTATCCAAAATAGTACAAGTACGACACCTGAAGTGTACTTGAAAATTTGAAAAAATAAATAAACCAATAAATTAAAAAAACATCCCTTAGTGATTCAAAGAGCTTACAGATCACATGGCTAGATCAGTTTCATGCAGCACTTAAAGTATATTTGACTCATTTTACTTTACGTCTTTTAGCTTTCACCAGCACATCAACATCAGAAGTCACATCCTGAGTGGCGGCCAACTTCAGGAAGTGATTCAAGTTCTTGTGTGGGCCTTGAGCACAGCTTTCTTTTATTTATACTCATTAGGGCTGTCACGGTTGAGGAATTCCCCCTGCGGTGATTCAGGGTGGCTTAATATTGCGGTGTGCGATATTATTGCAGCCCTTTTTTTTATTGCAGTACTATCTAAACATAATGTTTACACATTTAAAAAAGGTTAAAAATTGCCATGTCTTCTTAAATAACACTTTACTGAATGCAGATCAAAGGGCAGTAACAACACAGATCGCAGTAACGTTTGTTTCTCCGACAGTCGGAGTCCGACTGAACTTAAAAACAACAAAATTCAGGAGGTTAAACTTTTAAATGCAAATTTGGCTGCAGCATCTAACAAATAAGAAACAAGTCCCCATTTTGTTTAGTTGTTTAAAATCAAGCATAAAAAATTACATGTACCGGGCGCGCGCGCGCCGGGGGGCGGGCGCACTATCATTTCACTTTCACACACACAAATGACGGTGATTTATAGCTCGGTCACGTCCTTGTTACCTACAAGCAAAACCAGCATGTTAACCATATACGGTTTGAGAGAGGATCTGAGAGGGGTGGCAACATTTCCAGCAACACTGAAAACCCTCTCGGATGGTGCGCTCGTTGCACTAACACACACGTACTTGCGTGCGACTGGCGAGCAAAGGGAATCTCTCCCGGTTGTTGCTCCACCATGTCAGGGGGGTTTCTTTAGGGTGGATGCATTCCTCCTGCAGGTAGCGAGTGAGCTCCAGCTCGGCTCAAACTCTCTTCGGGACGGTTGCAGAAGCAGTGCTTGTCCGGGACTTCAGCAGGTCTCCGAGCATTTATTTATTTATTTTTGCCGCTGGTGGCAGCTCTGTCCCGGCCAAGGACCCTGGCTGCGCAGCAGCTGACGTACTGAAAACCAAAGTGCTCCCAAAGGAGCGAAGTAGCGTTTCGTTTTGATACCAGTGCAGCCATCCTTCTCAACATGCATCATTGAGTTGAACCAAGTTCAGTAATCGCGGTGGCGCATGATGCAGCGCGGTGGGCTTCTTCATATTGCGATATTTCATTTTTGCGGTTACCGCGACAGCCCTAATACTCATCACAGAGAAAACTTGCTCACAAAGATAAGTTTATTTTCACTCTACACTGTAAAGTATGAAAATAAAGTTTACACAACCATCTCGCGGGCCGGACTTAACCCGCTTGTGGGCCGGCGTCGGCCCGCGAGCCGTATATTTGACACCCCTGTCCTGAAGCATCTGCCAAAACAGATTGTCTTCCTGTTTGTTTTCTTGGTAGAAAAGTGTTGAAAAATGTTCTTAATGTTTCAGAGTTTTACCTCGGGATGCTAACAGAGTGTTTTGGAAAACAGCATTCATTAGTTTGTTAAAGCACGAACAATGGGGCAGTTTTAGTTCATTTGCTGCTTGATATGAAATAACATTTATTATGATCACAGCTGTAATTACTAAAAATCTGAGTCTTTCTGCTCTTCCCTTCCGAGGTCGCCACAGCCAATCATCTGTCTGCATTTAGTCCAATATTCTTCTTCTACCCTCACATCTAACTTCATGTCTTCACTCACCACATCCATAAATCTCCTTGTTGGTCTTCCTCTCAGCCTCCTACCAGGTGGTCCAGCCTCAGCATCCTTCTGCCTATGTCATCGTTGTCTGTCCTCTGGACATGTCCAAATTGTCTCAGTCTGTCCTCTGATTTGATCTCTGAAACATTTCATTCCTGACCTTCTCCATCCTCATCGCTTCCAAAGAGAACCTCAACATCTTGAGTTCTGCAACCTCCAGTTCTGCCTCCTGTCTTTTCCTCATGGACACTGTCTCTAAGCCAAACAACATGGCTGGTCTTGATGTCTTCTACACCTTTCCTTAACATTCTTGTTGAAACCCTTTTATCACACATCACATCTGACACTTTTCTCCACCCCTTCTAAAGTGCTTGCACATGCTTCTTCCCCTCTTTTCCCCTCCGTTGCTTTGGACTGAAGACCCTTCTTTACCTCTACTCCCTGAAACATCACTGTTGCATTAGTGTTCCTCTCACTTACACACATGTACTCTGCTGCTACTAATCTCCATTCCTATTTGGACTTTAATCGACAATATTAGTCCCTTTATCGCATGCACCTTTACGGGTTGTGATGCACAAAACTTCATTTTGACATAAAATTCAACATGCAACATGACGAAACATTTCCTGTCATTACTGGGATAAAAACCTTTTGATTCCTGTGATAAACTCCAGCTGTGTGGAGAAATGTCAGTCAACCACAAAACAAAGGAAACAAGTTATCTGAGTGCATATATTTATATTTTTATTCTCATTCAAATGCAGACTTAAATCCCACCTCTATGTGCAAATGTCCGTATGTCCCAAGAGGTTTGAATGAATGCAACTGGACTTCTTTGGTTTCCTGACGACATTTTGCTTCTCATCTGAGAAGCTTTGTCAAGTCTGTAACGTCAAAGTCACAAATGACATAAATGAAAGTCTGTGACTCACTCTGATCCTTGAGTGTAAATGCATTATGGATTTAAAGTTGATTCCCCTATTCGCCACCTGATCTCACCATGTAAGAAAATACAACAGTTTCAGATCAAATGCATGCTGACGGATACTGACCCAAGTTAAGCAGGTCCACACTCAAAGGAGGTATCACATGCCTCTGTCAACTGTTGTTATGGAGCTTTCTTTGTTGTTGAAAACCAGGGGGCCTAAGTGTCTGTTGGTCAAGAGCAATTTACGATCCCTGTGGCTGAAATGTGATAGTTTGGGAAGTACAAGACAAGATGTCAGATAATAAATCAGCTGCTGCAGCATCATCCTTCTTCCACAGCATCAGTGAGGAGGTCACAGCACACCCCATCAGAGCAGCAAGGGCGTTTCCCACAGACATGCAGATTTCAGGACAGGAGGATTACATCCCCCCCACACAGGCAGCTACAGCACAGCGCTGCTCTTTAAGCTGGGTCACGTGGCCACCAGATAATGGCACTCTGTGTGGATACTTGGCTGTATCCAGGCAACTCCTTTATTCATTTCCCAATGACCGTTAAATCTTAGGAGGGAGGCTGGGGGTTGGGCACTTGCAGCGAACTGCGGCCTACATGAATGACGGCGCAGTTTGACCTCCTTTGTATCAAGGAAATAGAAAAAACAATGTCTGAAATTGAAATTAGATAAGCATCGCAGCCATCATGTAAATGCAGTGAGTTTGAATAAAATACAAACTGAATATGCAAAATAAATTCTACGTAATTCAATGAAATTTAGAATTTGTCTGAGCCAAACAAACTTGAAAAGAGGATTATTATCAAAATCACTAACGTAACTAGTTACACATATTTGAGCTAGAAAACAAGTAATAATCTGGAGCCTGCACGCTCATGAAAGATGTAGAAAGGAGTTGAGTTGTTCAAACCATCCTCACAAAAAGAGAACAAATAACACTCAAATGCAGATTCTAGTCTACTCTTCAGTATAAATCATACATTTAATGCGTTTGGATCTGCTTAGGACAGCCGCCTGTAGAAAAACGAGCTTGTTTGCTGCGTGCATGCAGACAATTACGCAGCATTTTCCACCCAGCTAGAGCCGCCATGGTTGCAGTACACAAATGAATGATGGAAGCTCGGGTGGGTCATTGGGGCGGTCCTTGTCTCGAGCTCGGAGATAGTCCAATAGGAATCCACGTAGTGCGTCAAAACGTGACTGACAGTAAACTAGCCAATGGGAGCGCAGGAGTGACCGTTAGCAGGGCTCGCGTGTATAAATACTGCTGACAGCCTCATGTGCGCCATTACCTCTTACATCGACCCCTTAACTGTCGACTTGTAAGACGCCTGGCTGAGAAGACTCGTCCCTCCTCTTTTAGAACTTCAACAAAGAAACAATGGTGAGAATTTATAAATAGCTTTGCTTATAGAGTGGCATATTTAAGGTTTGACCTCCACTTATCGTGAATGTTAAAATAAAAAGGTAACTGCTTTAGCCCAACTAAACTTACATCTAATATAAAGTCAAATGTTGGTTCTCGTGGGAGGGGTTTTGGTTCATTTAGGCGGTGGCGCGCTAGCTAAACAAAAGAGCATTTCAAAAGTGGACAATGTGCGTCTCTTTTCGGCGCTTCTGCCCATCCATCACCCGCGAACTGCGGTACTTCTTCTCCTCGGCATGGCTAACTTACATAGCAACTGTTGATTCTCGTAGAAAACAATGGCTGTAATAGATTTAAACGACCCACACCCTAAAGAAACCTTATCCGCTGGGGAAATGGTTGAAACGCGCTTTCAGAAAGGCACTGCTCATTAAAAATGCACGCGGGTAATGGCTGACTCCGTAACAGTTCCCGACTGGGTTGTTTCTGTTTTTTCTTCATGGGTCACTTGAGGAATAGAGTTTTCAGTCAGTTTTTCAGGGTTCAAGCTGACGTCAGCACCTCTCCTGCGTGGAGGGAGCGTTGCCTAGCAACGAGTCTCTAAAGTGCGCCATTTGCCCCTTTGCCCTCGGACGGTTTTGATGCTGCTGCTGATTTTTAATTTATTCGTTTTTATCAATACTTAAACATGCTCAAATACATTTGTTAAACATAATATGTATATTTTGGCATCATTAGAATTTAATTCGTGAAACTGAAGTTATTGTATTTTTTTTCCCCTATCCAGCGTGAGTGCATCTCCATCCATGTAGGTCAGGCTGGTGTCCAGATTGGCAACGCCTGCTGGGAGCTCTACTGTCTGGAGCATGGAATCCAGCCGGACGGGCAGATGCCCAGTGACAAGAGCATTGGAGGTGGAGATGACTCCTTCAACACATTCTTCAGTGAGACTGGAGCTGGGAAGCACGTCCCCAGAGCAGTTTTCGTAGACTTGGAGCCTACTGTCATTGGTAAGGGTTAGGGTTGGGGTTAGCGCTAATCCTTGTAACCCAAACAGGCTGAATATGAGATTTTGTAAATTATACACAAGTATTTTAAAAAGAAAACTAAAAGTTTCCCTTTGACTCCAGATGAGGTGCGTACTGGAACCTACCGCCAGCTGTTCCACCCTGAGCAGCTGATCACTGGTAAGGAGGATGCTGCCAACAACTATGCTCGTGGACACTACACCATTGGCAAAGAGATCATCGACCTGGTTTTGGACAGGATCCGCAAACTGGTGAGTAAAGTCATATTTTTACACTTAGTCTGTAATAAATCTGATAAATGACTCATTTGTTTTCTGTGTCCTCAGGCGGACCAGTGCACTGGTCTTCAGGGCTTCCTGGTCTTCCACAGCTTTGGTGGAGGTACCGGCTCTGGTTTCACCTCCCTGCTGATGGAGCGTCTGTCTGTGGACTACGGCAAGAAGTCCAAGCTGGAGTTCTCCATCTACCCAGCTCCCCAGGTGTCCACTGCTGTGGTGGAGCCCTACAACTCCATCCTGACCACCCACACCACCTTGGAGCACTCTGACTGTGCCTTCATGGTGGACAATGAGGCTATCTACGACATCTGCCGTAGAAACCTAGACATCGAGCGTCCCACCTACACCAACCTGAACAGGTTGATCGGTCAGATTGTGTCCTCCATTACTGCGTCTCTCCGCTTTGATGGTGCCCTGAATGTTGATCTGACAGAGTTCCAGACCAACCTGGTGCCGTATCCCCGTATCCACTTCCCTCTGGCTACCTATGCTCCTGTCATCTCAGCTGAGAAGGCTTACCACGAGCAGCTTTCAGTTGCTGAGATCACCAACGCCTGCTTCGAGCCAGCCAATCAGATGGTCAAATGTGACCCCCGCCACGGCAAGTACATGGCCTGCTGCCTTCTGTACCGTGGTGATGTGGTGCCCAAAGATGTCAATGCTGCCATCGCCACCATCAAAACCAAACGCACCATCCAGTTTGTGGACTGGTGTCCAACTGGTTTCAAGGTTGGCATCAACTACCAGCCTCCCACTGTGGTTCCTGGTGGAGATCTGGCCAAGGTCCAGAGGGCTGTTTGCATGCTGAGCAACACCACTGCTATTGCAGAGGCCTGGGCTCGGCTGGACCACAAGTTTGATCTGATGTACGCTAAGCGTGCTTTTGTGCACTGGTATGTTGGTGAGGGGATGGAGGAGGGAGAGTTCTCTGAGGCCAGGGAGGACATGGCAGCTCTAGAGAAGGATTACGAGGAGGTTGGAGTCGACTCCATTGAGGGTGAGGGAGAGGAGGAGGGAGAGGAGTACTAAAGGGAACATAGAGAAATTGGTTCAACATGAAATAATTGATAGCAATGATTTATTGAATGCATTCAAAAAATTGTTCTTCAATTCAAATCTTTGGTTGGCTGGTGATGATTAAAACTCCTGAACCCATCAAAATGTTTTTTGTTGTAATGATTTGTGCAGAGGAGAGGGGAAACAGTCCATTCATTCCATTACATTGTTCACAATAAAACCTCTGTGAAGTTGTTTGTCCCTTTTTCCAACATCGTTAATATTTTCCCATAACAGAAATTGGTTCAACATGAAATAATTTATTTTATGGAAGTCTGGTTCTTCAACGATGATTAAAAAAATGAGCATTAGATTTTATTTTTGTTTTTACCAGAGTAGCAGGAATGGGCTTCTATAGATTACAGTTCTTTAATGCATTCCAAAAAAGTTCTTATATTTGAGGTGTTATTAAAATGGTTACACCTCAGTAATTCCAAGTATTTTGTTCAAAACGATGCATTTTGAAGATTCCTTTGAATTAAAACTTGGAAACACTAAAACTGAGAAATGTTCAAGATTGAGTTTTAAATATGAGCTTGGATTGTTGGTGAAAGGTTTGTCCAGAATAAAATCTCTGAAGTGAAGTTGTTAGTCTTTTATAATTTCTAAATGTTTATTAATGATGTAGAGAATAGTTCCAACAACGACTGTGATGTATGGAGCAGATGTTAATGATACTTTAAGAGACATCTGCGCAAGGGGTTCTGGGAAGTAGACTCCACCTGAGAGGGAGAGTAATGGAGGCTGTTAATAAAATATGACACTGAAAACCCTCTTGAGGGCAGTAAGAGCGGAGGAAGGACAACATTACAACGACCTGTCCCCTAAATACTTCAGGAGAAATATTCTGAATACTCTTAATAACTGATCATGCATGGCTCCACTAGAGGGCGCAGGAGGACTACTTTAATGTCATTTCCCAGATGTGTTCAAAAATGAAGCCTACAAAACTTCCATCCATCCATTGTCTGAACCCGCTTGTCCACGTAGGGTTGATCTGATGTACGCTAAGCGTGCTTTTGTGCACTGGTATGTTGGTGAGGGGATGGAGGAGGGAGAGTTCTCTGAGGCCAGGGAGGACATGGCAGCTCTAGAGAAGGATTATGAGGAGGTTGGAGTCGACTCCATTGAGGGTGAGGGAGAGGAGGAGGGAGAGGAGTACTAAAGGGAACGTAGAGAAATTGGTTCAACATGAAATAATTGATAGCAATGATTTATTGAATGCATTCAAAGAATTGTTGTTCAATTCACATCTTTGGTTGGCTGATGATAAAAACTCCTGAACCCGTCAAAATGTTTTTGTTCACAATAAAACCTCTGTGATGTGAAGTTGTTTGTCCCTTTTCCCAACATTATTAATCTTTTCACCATAAAAGGTTAAAAAAGCTAAGAAACCACCTTTTCCTAGTGACTAATAGGCTAACTGTTAATTATAGAACAGCTAGCATCTAAAACCATCTATAATCTCCAAAAAATGTCACATTGGTTCATGCAAAAGCAGTTTTGTATACTGTTACAGTTTTAAATCTCATAACATTGTGCTGCAGCTACCTGCCTCTGGCAACTCAGTGGTAGTATTTTTTCCAGGAAGCTAGATCAACCTTTTTTTTAACAAACAAACAATTTTTTAAGAAGGGAAAACGTAACAAGTATTAGGATTGCTGTAAAGACTCTGACTCCAGTCAGTGACTCGATGCAACCTGCTGAGTTTCTCATATAGGAAACTTTTTACTGATTGGCTTAATTAACTGACCTGCATTGGAATGTTTATTATGGTGCTATGTAAATAAACTCACTTGAAATTGAACTGAATAGAATCTTATGATCAAAGTTTTATTTGCAAACTTTACATTCAGGCAATTTTCAAACTCTTAACTTTTCAAACTTTGTTAAGTTTTAAACTTTATTATGTTTGTTTCTTCTGGCTCTTGGAGAGTACAGACGCTTTTTTCTCCTCTCCCTCCCTCCTCATCCCAAGGTTCTTTGTCCTGTCTCGTGTGCATGGCGCTTTCAGCATTTTTTTCTGGAAACTGGAAATGATTAAAAATGGAGCTGGTCAGTTGGTCTCTCAACGCGATTGACAAAATTTTTTCAACGATGAGAACGGGAGAAGGGGCGATCCCACAGTGGGGAAATTCACTTATTACAGCAGCACCAACACTTAAAGGAATAATTTGAAGAAAAAAAAATAAAGGTACATGTACATACACATAGGCAGTAGTCTAGATTTATAACCTTCGACTGCTAAAAACCACGAATAAAAAAGGAAACAACTTGGGTTCCAACACCATGCAGCATACTGCAAGAGACACGGACATACTTTGTAAATCTGGTATTGAACGAAAAATGAACACACATTGCATTGGTGTTGTTGAGTACCAAGGTAGTGCCAGTACAGCTTAAACTGAGGAATTATGCACT